TATATTAAAATATGTAAATAGCAAAATTTCAAATAAAATAAAATAAATTTATTAATAAAAATTATTTCATATTTTTCAAAAAATTTCGAAATTATTTCGAAAATTTTTAATTATTTCAAAATTCTTTCGAATATTTCAAAATATTTCAAAATAATTTCAATATATTCGAAATATTTCGAATTTTTCTAAATATTTCTAATATTATTCGAATTATTTTTTTATTTTTTTAGTTTTATTATTTTTTAAAATTTTGTAAATTAGCCAAAATTCTTTCAAAATTATTTTATTTCTTTCGCAATATTGTGAAATTATTTTATTTCAAAATAATTTCACGTCAATCACAGTTATTTCGAAAGATTTTTGATATACAAAATCTTTTGCAATATTTTGCATATTTATTCTGCTGATGGAGATGGCAAATACAATACTAAAAATAGAAAAGAAGTTAACTAATGCTAAAAACCTAACTTTATGTATAAATGGTTAGAGCAGCCCCTTAAAATATAGCATATATGCTTTTATTATAATAACAAATGAAAAAAAAACAGTATATCTATTCTTTATAAGATTTTTCAAAATTCTTTCATATAGCAAATTTTAATGCAGAGAAAATAATAGAGGTATTAGAAAATGTCAGGCCTGAAAAATTTATCATGATAGTTTCTGATGCTAAATCATCTATGATAGCAGCTAAATAGCAAGTTGCAGAAAAATATCTACACATTTTGTCTATAAGATGCATTGCGCATTACATTCAACTCATTTTTAGCAGTATTTGCAATTTACCTTATGCAAAAAAGATTTTATCTAATTGTCAAACAATTATAAGTTTTTTTAGAAATTCTTACTTTGCTGGTGCTGCCTTTAGAGAAGAAATTATATCCTTTCTTACTTTTGATAGGAATTTGAAATCAATAACTAAAACTCAATAGTCAACAGCATGGGATTCTTGTGAATCTATATTACATAATGAACCAAACATTAAATCAGTATGTTTAACTATTCTCGATTCTATGTTGATATAATCTTATTTTACTTCTATTTCACAATGTTATTTATTATATGAGTGATGCAAAAGAAAATTCAGACTTCAGACTTTTAATTATATTTTTTTGTCAGACTTATTCCCTAAAAAATAGTGATCAATTTGTCTTTTTATATTATCATTATAAGCACTTTTGTATTACTTATATATTATTTCTAATTAGATTTTTTGGGGCTAAGTCCGACAAGCAATAAACTTGAAAGCTCAAAATCTGGTTTCTCTTAGTAGCACTTATATATTTCTCTAGATGATAAAACTGTGTTTCGCTGTGGCTACTAGTTGAAATTAAAAATTTGAAATCTCGAATTTTAATTTCAAATTTTTAATTTCAACTAGTGTATATGAATATGTTTTATTATATAGCTATTTCATACTCTGCAACTAGAGTATTTTTTTTTCCTAATTGTAACATTTTACTTATAATTGTTTATTTATTTCTAATAGGTTTTAGAACAAAAACCTCAACTTTTTAATCATTCAAATGCTGTAAAAAATCTGATAAATGATCATCAACTTTGGATAAATGTTGAGCAATTGTAAAATATTCTTGATTCAGTAAAACAAGCCATAAAAAATTTAGAATTTTGAACCACCTCTCTAATAAATATATTCATTAAACTAGTAAAAGTGGCAATTGCAATTCGAAAAACTTCTATTTTATATAATAACCAATTTCAGCAAGATTGCATTGCTATTTACAATAAATAATGAAAAGAATTTAATATGGAATTGTATCTTTTAGCTTTTTTTTACATCTTGCTTACTGTGTTATCTAGAAAGTCTGATATTCACATGGTATGCTTTTTAACTACATATTTTTACTTTATTTTATTTTATAATAGGTAATTTTTTTAAGGCTGAAATATATAAAAATTATATTCTTAAAAAGGCATTAGAAATATGAAAACAGTTAGGCGATGGCTAAATAAGTACTAATCTCTTAAAAACTCAAATGAGTTTATATAAAAATTGAGAATTTCTCTTTAACGATGAATTTATTGTATCTGTTAATACAATTTCAAATTGGTAGATAACTATAGACCTTAAAAGAAATGAAGATTATATAAAGGCTTACATAATAAAAATATATCCTATTTCTCTCTATAATGCTGTTTGCAAATGAGTCTTTAGTATGTTAGATTGGTATTTTGGAAAAAGGCAGACTAGATATGTTTATTTTTCTTTTTTATGTTTTATAATTACTTTTACTTTTACATTATTATTACAAATACTATTTTATAGATTAAGTATTGAACATTTAGAGATTATAGCCCAGATTCATTTATTTTTAATAAAAAATGCTAAATCAGAACTCAATTATATAGATTAAAATATTTGCCAAGAGGATCTGTTATCAATTTTTAATCAAATTTCAAAATCCATGAAAGATGATACTGACTTATTTAGTAAAGAAGATTTGTTTTATTCTTTGGAAGAACATGAGAAAGAACTTATAGAAGAGTCTTCAGAAGAACTGGATGATTTAGTTAGCAAAAATTAAGGTTATTTAAATATTAAAAACTTCATATATTTGTCTTCTAAGTTAGTGATCAATGAATCTTTAAGTTTAATTAAAGAAATTATACATGGTGTTAAGGATTTTGACATTAATGATTTGATTAGTGATTAATGTCTAAGTCCAAGCATTTGTAGATTTAATAAATTACTAGAAATTGGCTAAACAAATATATAATTAAAAATTAGGAGTAATTCATTGACTGATGAATAAATATGAAACTCACTTTAAGATTTAAAATTCATTAAATATATATATTAATAGAAGTTATTACTTCCAATTTGTAAATTCATGAAGAGAATATATTTTAAATTCCAATCAACAATATTATTTAAATGTTTCAGTTGGTTATCAATATACTGACTTTATTATCACAGAAGTTATCTATTAGTAAGTATATTTTTTTTTGGTTTTAATTGAATTCTCATAGGGTGAGAATATTGCTTTACTTACCTAACCATTTTTATTAATTCACAAAATAAAAAATTATTAGCATTTTAGATCGTAACAAATATCTGCTAGTAACCTCACTGTTCTTTATTTCAATCATGCTAGTTATATTTCTAATTATTCTTAAATTCTCAATGATCAATTACTATATCTGACAAAAAAACTTCCTAAAATACATATTCAATATTTTTTAAGGTAAGTCAATAAAAATAAAGTTTTTTCTTATCAATAATTATATCACATTAATCATGATTAATTACTCTTTAGGATAAAAATTTGTTACATTACATGCCTACAAATAGTAACTATTTATGTACTTGCACAATCTCCAATAGTAACTATTTGTCTGCATGATCTTTAATAGTAACTATTTACTTATATGATTTCAACAATAAATGAAAATAGCATAAGAATTTCTAGTGCTTTCTTCTATCTGTGTTTTTTTTTTCTTTTTTTTTTTTAATAAGCAAACTCTAAAATAAAATGAACTGCACTTCATATTAACATATGCAATCTTTGTGGATGAGAGTTATACCTAAAGACATCTGTGAACAAATTTTAAAGCTTGCAAAAAAAGGTACAACACCCTTACAAATTGGTGTACTTCTCTGAAATTCTTATAATTTTTGGCTAATTAAAAACATTACTATAAATAAAATTATTCGAATCTTGAAGTTTAATAGTAAGCTTCTTTGTTTTTTTAATAATAATAATAATAATAATAATAATAAAGATAAGGTTTGCTAATTGAGCAATGATATTGAATAATTTCTTTAAAGGTTTAGCACTCAAGATTCCTAAAGATCTTTACCACTTGATCAAAAAAGCAGTTGCTGTTCATAAACACTTAGAATGTAATCACAGTAATAAGAATATTAAATTCTGATTAATTTTGATCGAATCAAGAATATACCACCTTACCAGATTCTATAAAACAACAGAACAACTTCCTTCAGACTGGAAATAGTATCCTTAGGTTTATTTTTTTATACTTATCTGGAAGTTTGCCTTTTATTTGCTGTGTATAAACTTTATTAAGTAGTAATACATTATTGGTAAATAACTGAAGCAAATTGTCAGATTTATTTAATTCCTAAGAAATTCAAATCTCTATATTTATTACTCTAATTTGCTATATAAGCCACATCTTTCAATTTTTTCTTTATTAATAGTTTATTATTATTATTATTATTATTAGATAAATACTGTAGAGTGCTAACTAATATATCTAGATATTTACAAAGATAAATACTGTAGAGTGCTAACTAATATATTCATGTATTTATAAGAACTAGTGCTGTACCTGGATATCTTTTCGTTTTGCCAATCTTCGAAATTTTAAACAAGTCACAAAGATTTTATTCTTTGATATATATGTGATACTAAGAAAAAACTTGTAAATAAATTTTCATCTTACTAGAAATGCATTAATAAATTTGCAGGTTTTCTCTTAGCATCATCCATATAGTGTATACAACATCTGAATATGAATTAAACTTTAGTCTTCAACTAGTCCTAGGTAAAAATAATAAGAAGATCTATGAGTCAGCACTTTATAATATTAGTAGAATATAACAAATTCAGATGTTTTATATGACAAATTATTGTATATAACAATATTATTCTTAATTTTGTTATAGTAATAGCTGATGTTTCATCAATACTAACATACAGTGTCAAACAAAAAATCATTGGAAATTTGTAGAAGTGATTCTTTTTTTTTAACTTACAATACTAAATATTCTTAATATTCAATCTATATAATATTAAAAAATGTATAACAACTATACTTGCTGTCCAAATCCTAAACTATTATAGTTTGAGTTTGTCTGTGCCCAAATCCCAAACTCAAGCCTAAATTAATATCTCAAAAACTTTATTAATAATCTTTATTTAAACAAATAATTTAATATATTTACAAAATATCAAAATTATTTTATTGATTTAATTTTTTATAAAAGCAATTTGTTTTTTTGAGGTTTGGGGTTTTGCTAGCAAGTATAATAACAACCAGATTATTTTCTGGTATTAATATTTTTGGCATATATACCATCTTTAAAAGATTTAGTAAATTAGTTCACTTTGACTATTTATATTATTTTTCTCAGTCTATTTATTTGTAGTATATAACAGAAGGATCAGTTATGTAATATTGATGGTTTCTTCTGTTGGTATATAATAAAATATTTATTTAATACAAGTTAAATAAAAGTATAGGAACGAAATAAGTTTGGAACTTAATAAATTATTAGATTTCATAGTTTTACAAATCCATGAATCTCTAAAAAAAAATTTAAATAATGATAAACTAATATTTTTATACAAATTTTTATATATGAAATCATCTGCAAAAGTTCTAATTGTAATTATGTAGAACATCTTTGAGACATTCTCAACTGACTTGTTAATAATAGAAAAGCTTTATCTGAAATTTAAAAAAATTAAAATGTGTTCTTTTAGAATAGTGACAAAATATTTTTGCAAAAACATATCAATAGTTTAGATGATAGAATAAATACATTTATTAAAGCTAAAGATTGTCATGTAAAGTACCAAATAAATTTAATATTATTAATTTGAATGCAATTCATTCAACAGAATACAGCTGCATTTATTACTTTATTGCTAAAAAATAGATATAAAAATCGATAAATATATGATGTATAGTATGTAGCAAAAGTTATTTATTATTATTATTATTAAAAATAAATCTAAATCTGCAATATGCTTTACTATCTATAAACCTAATATTAACAAGCTCAGACATGTTCTAAACTCAGATCTTTTACTACTAAACTTTTCCCATATTAAACACCCAATTCCAATACTCTATATTGAAAAAAGCTATTCTGGTTTGTTTCAGTATATGTTAAGCTTTCTTTTCTTTACTAATTATAGTGCTTTTCAAATTAATGTGACTCTCAAAAGTCTAATTGTCTAGAATAAAAATTCTTAAAATTCTCTGTTATATTTCAATCCTGTAGTATTATCTTTAGTAGTATATTAGTATTAGTAATTAGTTTTACAAAATAATATAAGAATTTCTACTAACAAAAAAAAAAACTATGAATTTTGATATTTTTTTGCTGAACTAATTATCAATACTTTTATGCTACTGAAGAAAATACTGCAGAATCAAAATATAATAGGGAATCTTAGAATTTTTGTTTCTAAACAAGTTAATTAGATTTATTTATAAAAAAGTACAGAAGTTTTTAGATTCTTTTGGTAGAAAAGCACTATATGTTAAATGTATTGCTAAGTGAATACTAATTAAATATCAATAAGATATTATTTTTAAAATAAACTTTCTAGCATTCTTAGCAACCTTAAAAGTTCAGTTGATTCTGGATATAATGAATCTTAAAATTTTATTTTATATTAGTTTAGTATAAAAAAGTATTATAAGCTCTTAAGAACATAGTAATTTTTTAAAATGAACTTTTTTTAGAACTATCAGTTTATTAAAGAGTTGACTGTGATCTTATAAAAAATTGATTTGTACTATTATATATAATATATAATTTTGATTTTAATTTGATTTGTTTGGAATTTGGCCAAGATTTGGTTAAATAGAATTTTAAAATTTTTGTAATTTTACCAACAACAATAAACAAAACTATCAGGTTTGGGTTATATTACTAGTTGTATTATAATTAAAAGTTGGATTGTAATGTTATATTCAGAAACTTGAGATTTGAAATAGAATAAGATTTAAAACTTGAAATAAAATTTATGATTTTAGAACATAAAATAGAATTGAGATTTAGGATTTGAGATTTGGGATTTGAAATGAGATTTGGAATGAGATTTGGAATTTGGAACAGAGTTTGGAATTTGGCCAGAGTTTGGAATTATAGCATCTCAAATAGAATTTTTCCAGTTTGGGATTTGGGATTTTTCCATTTAGGATTTTAGTTTGGGTAGGATTTTAAGAGTTTATAGTTTGGACAGCAAGTATACATATGATAGCTCTAAAACCAATTAATTATTAGATTAAAAGCTATAAAAAGAATAGCTTTTTGTCCTTTTAAAGACAGTACTTTTTATAATTTTTCTTAACTTATTTTCTTATATAAAAGTTTTTTTGTATTCAAATTATTCTTTAATAAAATATTATTTTACTTATTATCATTAATAAAACTATTTTTTATTTTATTCTTTTATCTTATTGCTTCTATAAATTTTTTTTTATTTAATTTTCTTTCTTTTTCTTATAATAATATAAAGTAGAAAGCTGGTTTTCTTAATTAATTATTTTGGCAAATACTAGCTTTATATTATTAAATATTTTATTTTTCTTTTTTGCAATAATATAAAGTAATAGCTGTATTTGTGAATAGTACTTTAGCAGATACTAGCTTTATGTTATTGGAATTTAAAAAGCTATATATAACTTAGGACAGCCTAATTATCTGTTGCTAATTGCCTTTTTTAGTATCTTAGAATACTTTTAAGTTTAGCGCAAGTAATTCTTATAAAGAGTAAACTATTTGTTAAGCCTGGCCAATACAAAAAGAACAATAGGTCAAATCTTTCTTACAACCAGCCTATTATAAAAATCCTTATAGTATTTAGAAGGCTATTGAATTTAAATTCTATTTTTAAATATTTATTTCTTATTTTAGTTATTTTTATTTATTTTATTTTTCTTTAAATAAAAG